TGAAAACATATGGTGTGGGAGTATGGGGGACTACAAGAAACCTATGGCTGGCTTTCATAGACAATGTAAGGATAAAGGTTAGCATAGAGAATAAGGCTTTGTTTAGGAAGGAAGACTGGATTGATCAAAGGTCCTTCGAAAATTTATTCCTGGGTTATTTTCTATTTGCCTGAATCCTAATAGCAAAATACAAGAGGTTTGGTCTCCACAAGGATGAATTTGCTTTTTAGGAGATTTAATAATGACTGGGATATAGAGTGGGTATCGGATATGCTAGCTTTGATTGGAGACTTTCTTGGCACAAATCCGTAAACAGATGAATTGCCATGGAGGCATCATATTGATGGTCAATTCTCTGTGAATAGAATGTATAAAAGGGATCTAGCCACAATTGCAGGGAAGAAATCAAGGTCATGGAGTGCTATTTGGAAGAGTGTAGCCCCTACTAAGGTGAAGTGCTTCACTTGGTTGGTAACCCGGAGAGCTTGCCTGACACATGATAAATTTCAAAAGAGGGGAAGAATTATTGCCTCAAGATGTTATCTTTGTAAAGAGGCTCTAGAAACCAACAATCACATGTTCCTCCATTGCAAAGTAACAATACAAGTATGGGATCTATTCACCAATTTAGGCTAACCAATTTAGCTAGCCTAAATTGGATTATGCCAGAACATACAGTAGACCTATTAAGTTGTTGGGCCAGAAGGGGAGGTGGTGGAGAACAGTACCAGCCTGTATTTGGTGGATCATATGGAAGGAGAGAAATCAGAGAATCTTTGTAGGGTTAAAGAATGCGTTATAAGATTAAGTGGAAAGTAATTACCACTTTAGGTTTTTCGTGTAAAGCAATAAACATAGAAGAAGAAATTCAACTAGTGGATTTCATAGGAGCTATGTAAGTATTCTTGTTTTCTTTGTTTTGTTGTTTCTATGTAACTATCACTTTTGGAGGTGGCCAGCATAGCCCTTAAGCTGAGGAATACAAAGTTACCAGTTTCAGGAAAAAAAAAAAATCTGGATGAGTGCATCATTGTAGTGACAGTTCTAGGAGTTCACTGGGTCTAAGATGGTCCCAACTCTCTGGAGTATCTAAAGGGCTCTACAGCCAGTTTTCACTAATTGTATAATTAGTAGTAATAACTAAACGAGAGAAATATTTCAGTGCACATGCTCTTAAAAGTTAAAACCAAAGTATATACTCCTTCACTAAGTCTCATCACAAGTTTGGAGGAAAGTATAGTTGGTGCATCACCTGACCCATCCAGAAGAATGATCCAATGTCCTTTAGTCTGTACCTAAGTTTTGGGATTTGGATAGCTTTGATAAGATTTTTATGTTAAGAGTTATCATTTGGATCACTCTGACAAAGTTACAGCAGCTAAATAATGACTTTGAATTAGCTTCCGACTATGAGACTAGACAGTGGGGATGAAAGGTTGTGAAGAAGAATCAACTCCCAATGGTACTATGACCATCAATTGGCTTTGCAAGCAATAGAAAGAAGAAAAAGAAACTCTCCTCATCACAATTAGGTCCAAGAATTCCTGTAGTTACACAAATCAATGGACCAACTTTAGCAGAAAAGGAAATAAATACGCAAACACATAACCTATAGTCCGTTTCTCCTGTCGTTTTTTGAGGGAGGATGGTTTTTAAAATTTCACCGACATAGTAGGGTGCATCAGGGCTGTAAATTACCAGCCAACAATATATATATCATTTATAGCAGAACTCTCATAGAATGAGTTCACAATAGTTTGTATCAGTTCCTCAGGCATGCAGCAGAATGAAGAATAGAACAAAGGGAGTTGATAAACAACAATACAGAATAGGTGGAACCATTTATGATTCTAACAAGGCTCTAGATAAACAATTTACAGCTGACATGGACGACTCCAAATTATTCACCTATTTAAGTAGACTGACTGACTACATGACCTAAGTAAAGACCTTGAAACTCTGAACACACCTAGATGGTCCTTGAGGCAGGGGTATTGCAGCCTGATTTTGCTGGCTGCTGGGAAGGGTTTGTGTTTGAGTTGGGGCACCCTGATGTTGAGGCTGTTGAACTTGTTGTTGATGCGGCTGGTGCGGTTGGCCAATGGGTGGCTCTGCTGCTGTAGATTTCACTGCTTGATTCATTACATTAGGTACTTGCGGAATTTGAGATTTGTCTGCCTGAGTTGAATAATTTGTATTCCGATTTTGAAAAAACCTGTTTGAGTAACCATAGGATGTCAAATTCTGAATTCTCTGAAGAACTTCTACCACTGGAGGTGGAGGTCCAGGCAGCTTTGCATGTCTATATCGGCAATCAGGACCATTCGGACAAAATCCTAATTTATACCTGTCATTATAGAAATTACATCAAAAAACAGGTGATAATGTGCTACAAGAAAAAGAAAAACCATGTATGGTCATCTTATTCTCTTTTCAATTACTTTTCTTTAGAGAAAGCAAATCAACACCCTTGATCTTTTTTATGACAGGGGTGTACGGGCCAGCTCACGAAAACCTCGACTTTTCCACAGGGTACATACTACCTCCCACCAGGTATCATGCTACTCTAAGCAGTCATTATCATTAAGATCAAAAGCACCTACACCATAATTAATGATGATACTGTCGTAGAATGACCAATGCCCAACAAAAGCAAATCAGCATAACTAAATATCAGGTGAGGATCGTGAAAAAACACATTAAACATCCATTTTTTTACTATGTTCTTGCGCTTTTCTTCCGCTCAATTCCCAGTAAGTAACAAACTCATGCAGCTTATAACTAAAAAGTTCAAACGAAACTGGTATAAGTAAAAATATGTGTCAAGAAATATCAAACAGATAAAGTAGATCCAATTCATTACACACCAAGCAACTCAAAATGCATCAAATCTACGAACCTAATACTCACGAACCTAAAAGCTAGTAACCTTGGTTTAGATGTAACCAAATCCAAGCAGAGGTGCTAACTGCTGAGACCAAACACATAAGTCCCAAATTATCTCATCAGAGTATCTAAGTAAGAGTTTGAATCCAACCTAAATATCTGTGGTTTCCCTACTAGCATGTTGGCAATGCAAGTATGTAAATATACGCCTTACCTTACCTCCTCCCCCTTCCCCTTCCCCTTCCCCTTCCCTCTACCCCTCCTCTGATCCACCGATTCACCACTGAACGGCTTTGGGTTTCTTTTTCTACCGACAGACAAGGACTTGAAAGAGAGCTTCCTGGACAGCTAACCACTTCTTGCCAACAAAGGAGGGCGCACCGTCACTTACATTACACTCCCCCTCAACACAGACACAAACACACAAGGAAAACAGCATGATTTAAAACCATTGCAAAGAAGAAAAACCAGAAATCAGATCACGGAGAGAATCTCACATGTTACATTCTTTAATATCCTCATTGGTGTGCTTATAAACACAATCTTGTTCACGACACTCTCCATAGAGTCTAAAGAACCTGCAAACGGGCATCCGGGACTTATCATACTGGTGAAGGAAACCACAAGCATCACCCTTCATACACAACGACCGTAGCCAATGCCTGCAAACAGTCTGCCTGAAACTTCTACGATTACCAACAAATGAACCATCCCCTCCTTGTCCCACACCGCCGCCTGGAGGAACTAAGGCAACAGAAGCATTTGGGGCGGGACCGGTGGTGATGTGGCCTGCAGATTGTAATACTGGTACAGATGCAGTTGGGTGTGTTGGCCCTGTATCTAAGCCACCTTCAAAATCAAAGTTTAATCCTCCTTCTCCATCATCCATTTTGAGTAGATTCTTCTCTGTTTGTCAATCAATCTTGATTTCTGGTTGAATTTGGGGTTTATGGAGCCACCAGGGTTTTTCAACCCAGGGCTTTTGGTTGTTTGGCAGAGAGGGGAAATTGTTAGTATTGTTTTTTTAGGAAGGTACAATTATGCATTTGTATACACTACTAAGTACTAAGCACAAATTAAATTTATTTATTTAGTAATATAAGTTGTGTGAGGCATATTATTTCATAAATTAGTGTATAAGGGGTTCTCAGAAGAAATAAGAGAAGTATTTGATTCGACAAATTATTAGTTTCGTGTTCGAAATATTAACAACCATAAAAGTATCTCTTTGTTTGACTAACGAAAATTAGATAAACTCTCGATTTGCCACATGACATAGCAAATAGTCTCAAAACTCTTGTAGGAACATGAGCTCTTATAAAAAGCCGAGAGAAGTGTAAATTTTGTGAGAATTTAGGTTCAGTTAGTCAATAAAGGGGTATTTTTAAGGTTGTCACTCCCTACATTCTCATTCTCAAGATTCAAGGCTATTCCTTTCACACCGCTGGCCAAGTCACTTCGTCCCTTTCAGGTGCAAAACTGGTCATTCTGTAGATCCGAGTTCGGAGATAAAATTAATAATTCGCGCAAAGTTTTAGATATGTTTTCAAAAGAAGTAATTGAGAAGAAAAAAAACAATTATTTAGTGTGTTACTTTATTGTTTCAAATTATTTAGTACTTTTAATTTAGACTTTACACAATTTGATTGAAGAAAATGTTATTGAACTATTATTTTCTTTATAACTCTGGTGTATAGTTAGTTTTCGTGAGTGTTTTTGTCTTTGTAGAAATTTGAATCTAAGACTTCATGGACCATGATTGCTGAATTTTGAGTCTAATATCTCACCATTCTCAACTCACTTCATTAATCTGTAAAATGATTAATTGTCATAAAAAGAGAAGTGGTACATTAACAATAACTAGTAATAAGTTTAATGTACTTTGAGTAGCTTTATTGAAAGAAATAACTATTTATCAATAAAATCAATTTAAGCATTTAAAGTATTTTTCAATAAGGAAAATGACTTTCCTTACTTGTGTTATATCAAAGTCATTTTCTTATAACCACCTGACTTTAGTTTTATACAATATTTTCTCCAACTAATAATCAAATATTATTATACATTATTCTTTTAGGATTCAAAACTTTCTTCAAAACACCTGCCAGAACAACTAAGTAGGGAAAACACTAACATATAAGTTTAAACATAACCTCAAGCTCAGATGGAGATGAACTTGAGAACCTGGCCTTATAACATGGCAAAGAGTATTGGTAAGTAATTTTGTGACTTTCTAACTCGGTACATTATACACTTCAGTCAAACTGAAGTGGTATTTTCTTCTTCTTTTTTTAAATAATGAGCTCAACCTCGCCCCAAATGCAGATAGATACTTTTCTGTTCTAGGGCATTTTTTTCATTTCCCTGCTAGTAAAGATAAGTTAGTTACAATCAAATATTTGGACCACTGCGTCAAATGATTATACATATATAGTAATAAATAGTGATTAGGGGTGAATCACATAAATGAATGGGCGTTCTGTCATCCAGTTCTTCATGGTCACCAATCAATACCCAAATCTCTTGAGGTGAATAGTTTGTCAATGTACGAAATGACAGTCTCACACGAGGCGACATAATTTTGCATCTGCGTTCTTGCAGAGACTTCTGAAATTAATAGAGAGAAACAACAAACTCATCAGGAAAATGAAAAGAAGAAAAAAACCACTGGAACAGGTGGGCGGACCTAGTATCCCAGATCTTAGCACATAGACTACAAGGCATTTGATATGATCCGAGCCTCAGACAAGGATGGGTCATGAACTATGAAAATGCCTCAGACATTGGATATTCTGGCCAATAAAAAGGCAACTATCATCTAGGCTGAGATACAATGAGATGAACTATTAAGAAGAGCTTGTCAGCATACAAGTAAATCACAATAAAACGCACAATTTATTCCCTGGACAAAAGTAAGTGCAAAATCAGTTATGACCCCCCTTACCCAACAATTTGGAAGCTAAAACCAAATAAGGAAGTAAAGAAACAAGCAGGATAAAAAATTTCAGAGTTGTGTCATGAAGTCCTTCCCAAGTGTGTGATAAGTGAGGCAAACTAAAAAACTGATATTGAGTTTCGTGTCATAGTATATAGGAGGAAGCTACTACAATCAGGATTACAATGTCCTAGAATTTCAGTCCATAATTCATTTTTAGCCCAAAACATATTGTGACATTAAGAATTTAAACAAATTACTCAACAGATTGGATAAAGCCAAACCAAGTTCACTTCAGAAAGAAAAAATAATGTATCAGAACGATGCATTAGACTCAAAAAGTTACTAGGTGAGTAGTTAGTTGAGGCAGAGGTATAGAAAAGAAGCTGAACTGCACACTCACCATCTTCATTAAGCTTGATCATCAGCTGTTGCCGGGTGGGAAGGGCATACATTCCTGCAGACACAGCTTTCCTGATGGCCCATCCATGGTATGGAGCAAACACTTGTGTATATGCTTTTGATGCTGGATCCTTCAAGGAATTCCCCCTGCCAAAGACAGCAACCAAATTTGAACATCAAATATGGATATTAAAACTAAAAACAAACATATCCGCTGGAAGAGGTCTGATAAGACTAGTTAGTACCTGATAACAAACACTTGATCCAAAAAAAAGTAACTGATAACATACAAATAGTACAAATCTCATAGTACTACAACAACATTTCACGATATTTTCCTACTTCCGCACACCTAAAAAGAATTAACAAACAAGCGCAAGTGTTTGAGTCATATCCATCTATTGCCAATTCAGCCACCAGAAGGACAGGTTCATGTGAATATCACCACCGTGTCAAACAACAATTGACTTGCAGGTTATAATAGAACTCCATAAGATTATGCAACTTTCATGCACCTTAAAATCAACGAGCCGGATAAAATTTAAAATTTAGTATATGCAATTATATAAACATCAACCTATGATAACGATTCCTCAACCACATGGTAGATTCATGTGAAGATCCATCACCTTAAGCAAAAAAACTGTCACTTCTCACACAAAGAAAGGTGAGACACGCATGAACTGCTCTGGCACTGTCCTTCATAGATCATAAAATCTGCAAATAGGGTTATTTTGGGGAGTAGTCATGTTTCAAAGTGCTAGCATGAATTTCACTCCTACTCTACTCATTCCTCTCTTCAGAGAAGAAAAATACATATTATTGCTTCTTTGGCAGGAAAACTAGGTATTGATAAGTTCCTCTGGTCTACTATTTCCACCGTGATCTTCAAAGGCCCTCATGCTTCTAGAACCATTACACCAACAAGCTAGCAAACTGGTCAAACAACCAATTTTCCATGTACACCGTAGCACCAAAGTAGATGACCCCTCGCCCTCTGGCACCCTGATGTATACAAGCTGTCAATGTAATATACCTTACAGCTTCCACGATCCAATCAAATGTTCCCTTGTTTTCTATTAAGACCTATTAATAACTAAAACGACTTTACCCATTATGTTCATTGAACATAACATTACATGACCAAACAATTTCGAGTAGAGAGAGATATCATACTTTAAGCATTAGCATTACTTGGAGAATTAAGATATTTTGTACAGCATGGAATACAGAATCTGTCACATTTTGGTCTTGGACACCCCGAAAAAAATCACATAAGGAAATGCACATGAACATGAATTGGAGCATGCCTAAACTCTTGTGGAACACATAACCAGATGTGTCGACTCTCCAATTTCCGTCCTCAATATGTAATAGAGGTACCACTCATCTGGACATAAACAAGGCACTTGATTTTGTATTTTGTATGTTGTAATACCCAAACTTTTCTTTTGAACTCAATATCTTAGGGGCCAAACATATAATGTTTTCTCGTAGAAAGTGTCAACCACTTGCTACTGCACTACCCAGCTGCCTCAGACCTCTGGAATATGTTTTGTTGTTTTTTTGGTCTTTCCTGGGTAATGTCTTTCTCTATTAGGGATGCTCTTGAAAGTTGGACTTCACAGGAAGTTGACAAAGCCATCAAGAGTATGTCGATGATGATCCCTGGTGCTATCTTTTGGTGTTTATGGACAGAGAGGAACACAAGATGTTTTGATGGAATTTCAACTTCTAGAAATCTTTTGCGAGGCAGATGTCTAGTTAGCCTTTTTAGTTGGTCCAAATTGACCCCTGTAAATAATTTAGAACTCTTCTTGGATTTTGTTAGCTCTATCGTTTAGAAAGAGGCTACACATCCTTTTCTTGTGAGCTTAACTGATCTATCCTTGTAAATCTTGCATCTTCTTGATGCCTTTAAATGAATCTACTTACTTCATAAAAATAAAAAAAATGTTTTCTTGTGTAGACACATATAGGACAAAATATTTTCTGATTTCACTCCTTCCAACTCATCATCCAATGGGCCAAAGCTTACTTTTATGTAGTTATAGAAAAGAAAGCCAACGTCCAGGAAGCCATACAGTAACAGCCCAGTAACACATATACTCATTGCTAAACCCAAAAAGGCATTGCACATGTTGGTTTCAAGTCTTACTCTTGTAGTTCAGGACCTTCCGCTTTCCTTTCTAATGTCGGATTCTAAGACTACCTTTGGGTTAACTCCGACAGCTCGCCAGCGAGAAGCTTGTCAAACCCTTTGTTCCTCCCTCTTTACCCAACAACTCTGTCAAGGAATATGTTAGTGATGTTGGAAAACCCCATTGTTATGGCATATCTTTTTCTTTGTTACTAATAATATTATTTTCCTTTTTTTATAGTTTAGGCTACGGAGAAAAAGAAATAATCTTATATATGACACCACAATCTCTTGTTCTTTTGCTTTTTTGTACTCCTGGTTTCAAAGCTTATGTTTATAGGTCTATACTACTTGGGAAATAAATGAAACAACCAAAAATGTTGATTCTTTTTTGAATTAGCGAACATTGAAAGTTCTGGAGTTTCTCACAATGAAATATTATTTCCAATCTACTCATTTGTGGGTCCTTCTTTCTTTTCATGACATAAACATCAAAAGTTATAGCTCCTTATCAACAAGAGAAAAAAGAACATCAAAAGTTACAGCTTTTTCTTCACTCTGTTGCAACATATCCGAGACTAGAGCTTTCATGCTATTAGTACTCTTTGATGAAATGCTGGTTAGCTTAGACTTCCATGAGTTTGTAAGCCTGAAGTAGAGGATAAAGCTTACAACATCAAGCAGTGATGTCGACAAAAAGATAGAAACATTGAAGTTGGAGGAACTTGCAACTGAATGATCAAATCCATTACATGAGTGTTAGGTTCAGTGTTAGTAAAACCAATAGCTATTAGTAAAACCAATAGCTTAAAGCAATGAAGCAATGCAAGAGGGACTATCGAGCTTCACACAAATGTAAGCTTCAAACAATGATGTGCAACACGATCCTAAGGAGGAGCAGTTGATTATGTGAATCTCTCTTTTGAAGAGTTTGATCTATATTAGGCTATTAGCATTATTGTAAATTGGATGCAAAAATTAGCTATTTTAATCGTATGTGATTATTTAAGACTAAACTCATACATGTTTATCTCACTTTATCATTTTAAACTTACTATAACTTGTACGCTTCCCTTCAAAGAAACGTATGGTTCACTTCTCGCTTTTCGCCGCTTTTCACCTCAAGCCCCATGGAGTTTTTTTACTTTTTCGCTTTTAAATACTGGTAAAGATAAAGTCGTGCATCTAAATGATCTCAGAGTTCTACATTTCAAAATAGTAAAACAGAAATGTTAATAATAGAGGGAACAGATAAAAAGCATACTCTGCGGCTATAATCTCCTCGAACAAAACCTTAACCATATCCAGCCCACGCTTAACTCTTAACAAGTTCCTTGTATGACTACCTGCCTTCCTCACACAATTTGCTTGAATATCTTGATCCATCATAGTGTGCAACGTTGTAATAGACTTTGATGCCTCTGCTAGATCACCCACCTGCGGTATTACCAATTGTCTAGTTACTCAATCAACCATATTTTTTATTAAAAATTGACTGTACCTAAACACATATAGTCCTATGCAATATATGCTACCAAAGGCATGCATGATCAAAGGAAAACCTACTATCAGTGGAACCCAAAGGGCCAAGCTTTTTGCTGTAAGCTAAATCCACAGTCGGAAAAAACATTGCAAGTAGAGCATCAATACACTACTGTATGAATACCCAAAATATAGCCTAGATTCCCCACAAAAGGCATATGAGGCAAGTGATCAAATTAATATATTTATATGATCACCACAATTCATAGTCCTTGCGATAATATCTGCCCCACTACACTAAATAATCAATTTGATCAATTTGTCATCGAACTCGCACATAACTTGATTCGATAAAAAAACAAATATAAACATAAAAACAACACAAAATGTACATTAAAAGTTCTCAACTTTAATCTTCGAAAAATAGAAAATAGTAGTAGTAATATTTACCAGCTACCATACAATTCATGCATAATCAATGTGATCACAACTCAAAATTCATTTATTAGAACAAAATAAAATCCTCAATCAAAAAGCGAATTGGATTGCGAATCGGGGATGATACCTTAGCAACGTAATCGAGCTCGGCAAACTTGAAGGCGATACCGAGGCAACGGAATAGAGGAGAGACCAAAGTGCAAGCGTGAGAGAAAGGAGCTACTTCCATCTTAGCAGCTTCATCTAGGGTTTGAGAATTCAAAGTGTTGGCTAGGTCTTTGAAGGCTTCCGCCATTTTCCTAAGAGGCTTTTCCTCAGCTGCGTGGTTCGCCATTGAATCAGCACCGTGATGTCGACGGAGTTTTTTTTCGTGGTAATGCCGGTCCGGGCCCAAGATATATTGCGTGAACAAATCTAATTCCGGGCCTTGAGAAGTTTTTCTTTGGAATCCCCCTCTCTTCAAATGCACTCAATGATTTTGATTTTTTGTATAACTGAAAATATTTTTTTCTTTTTCTAATGCAGTTTATCAAGGTTATATATTTCCCTTTTTAAAATGAAAATGATTTTTTAAAAAAAAAAAAATCTTCACCTCTGGAGTAATTTTGTGATTTGGTGCTTAAATTTGAAATGAACATTTGTTTATGAATTTCAATTTTAAATTGTTTGGAAAGTAGAATTTTAAATTCTAAGTTGTGATTTTAATAGTTAAAAAATATAAAATCTTGATTCATAAGTTTATACTTTATAAAGAAAAATATTACTCCTATTTAATTTTTGTGAAAATAGATCCATGCTCTGGGGCGAAAAGATTGTGCATACTATTGTAATCATTTAAAATTTATTAAATATAAATTTATAAAATAATTCAGATTATATTAAATTCATAAATATATCAGTCCAAATAAATTATGAATTAATATAATTAGGCTAATTATTCAAGTCCAATAAATATGGATTTAATTAAAGTCAAAATTAATTGATTTGGGCTACAGTAGATGAGCCCAATTTGCTAAGTCCAATTTCACCTCATCCTAGAGGCCCATTTTTTTGGTGCCACGTGGCAAATGACGTGGCATGTCAAGTCAAACAAGAAGCTAATAGGATCAGGACATGTCTCAAAGATGACAAGCCCACTCCATAAAGCCCATATGTCATGTCACTTAAATCTGATTGGCTGAAGGAAATTCTGTTATAATCACAACTCCTCTATTCTAAAACTATAAATAGGAGTTCTCATAATTCAGAATAGAAGACCGAAAATTCTAAACAAGAAGCTAGAGAAAATCCGTGGTACAAACGCCATAAAATTCTCTATAAAGCTACAAGTTTAAGACTTCAAGCATTCAAGTTCAAGAATGATTAAGATCAAGACCATCGGATTCAAGAACAACCTCGAAGTCCTTGAATTCAAGTAAAAGTCAAGATAAAGTTCAAGTCCAAGTTCAAGACCAAGTTAAAGTCAAATTCAAGAACAAGCTCAAGAGCCCTATAATTTATATTCGAAAAGGCGAATTCAGAGGAATCATAGAGATTGTAATACTCGCACTTTGAAATAATAAATACGATTGTTGCATAATTTTCCGTTCTTAATTATTATTTTCTCGATGCGAATTTTATTGTCTACAACTATGTAGAATGATTATATTAAAAAATATCTAATTATTATTAAACTGTGATTAGTAGTTGAGTTAATATCAAAGAAACACTAGTCATTTTTTACTCCGGCTCAGAAAAATCTCTGGAGTTACAATTTTGGTGCGACTTGAACTAGTATTGCCTTAACGCAATCAAGATTGTTCTGTATTTAAATAGCTTGAAGGTCCTCTTTTTGTAAAGAAAATCACTTTATAGATATAAATTCATCATAATGACCCTCGAACAGATTAGTAGTCAGCCTCAAGTCCGATATTGATTACCCTCAATAAGCCTTGAGCCTAACATTCGATTCTAGACACCTGCTATTAAATGGTCTTTTCAGAAAGGGCTAGTGGGAGTGGGATTAGTTTTTTGGCCCATAAAAAAGCCATATATCAAGAAAAGAAAATGCATCCAAAACTCTCTCTAAAAAAACTTCAATGGAGCTACTCTCTCGTATTCCCTTTTACTTTGAGCAATTTACATTTTTATATTCCATCCCAATTTTGTTGGTTTAGCACAAAAGAATATGAACATGATCAATCGTAATCCACTTACTTTTAACCTCTTTTTACAAATTGTACTATTAATCAAAATGTTGAATTTTTCAATAAATAACATTATTGTTGATTTACTGGATAGTGGGTCTTTGTAAAATTATGTGTATTTTAAAAGTTTGTGATAATATGTAATCGTAAAAAACTGTTAATAGAAAAAAATAGAGATATGTGAATTATTAATACAGTGTATAAGAATATCTTGATACACATGCTTATGAATCATGATTTGTTCATTTTGTAAGAGTAAGAGCCCGTTTGGATTGACTTAAAAAAAGTAACTTTTAAAAGTGCTGGAACTTATTTTTAAAATAAGTAGTTATGTGTTTGGATAAAAGTGCTGCAGTTGAAAAAAAAGTTGTTGATGTGTTTGGCAAAATAAGTGCTGGTATACACTTTTTTTTTAGCAAAATGTCTGAAATACCCTTTAAGCTGTTAACATGATAAAAAGTTGATTAATTTAAGGTTTTTATACTTAAAAAAAAAAAAAAAAAATAATAATAATAATAAACATAATAATAAGAATAAGAATAATAATAATAATAA